TGTTCGGAGTCGATAAAATGAGCCGTGATTGCCGTACCCTATGTTTTCGTAAATCTGTGACTAAGCATACTTTGGTGGGGTTCCCGAACGCGTTCGGACATGCGGCGGGTGATACGGCGAATGTGAGTGATTCCACAGGAACACACAAATTGGTTAATGGAATAGCCTCCAAGATCACTCGATCTGTCCCCCTTAGATTTCTTTCTGTTATGATATCTAACGCAAACGTTTATTCCCAAAAACCGAGAACAATCAAGACGTTTGAGCACAGAATAGTAGCACAGTGCGAATGTGTTCTAACTGTTACCATTCTGAAGGCGGATGAAAACTATCTTCACCGAATTTTGCTATGCAAGCAGCAGAATGGAAAACATATGGAACAACTTTCATAATATAAATATAATTTTTTCTGTAATATTCATTTTTTATTTCTTTGTAAATCCTATCTCTGACTTAGTTAGCAAGATCGTTTAACGCGAAAACAGTCGGTTGGGAACAAACAAGAAGCGTTTTATGTTGGCCTGCATTAGGGGATATTGTTGTCCGTTATTAAAACAAGTTTGAAGTTTTATTATGATTATCTATTTATCGAATCCGCTTCGAAAAATAGTGCGTGTATCTTAGACAAGTCAAGCGTTGGCCCGGTGTCAACATCGCTTGAACATTTCCCGTTCCGAATTTCCCATATAGCACACCGCTCCACAACTGATTCTCTTGGGGTGATTCTCTACCAACACTTAGGCAGCATCGGATACGGAACTTGTCCTCCTTCTGTGCCGGCCTGAAAAGCACATGACCGATCGGATTCATTGATCGATCGGTTAAATGTTTCAGCCGCAACAAGAGACCTGGTGCTTTCCCAGCTAACCCGAGTGAGAAACCACACCTTGTTTACAGCCGTGAGTCTCAGGCAGGCTTAGTGAACTTTGACTGTGCAGTAGGAGTGCCATTAGAACACCAATGGACATGATATAACAACAAAAGCATTGCAAAACGTACAAGCCGGTAATCAGACAGTCTCGTTTTGGGGTGACGGATTTTAAGCGCCGCAGATCTCGGAATATGATACAGAAAGGATCAGAGGGAATTTACTCGTTTAAGGTCACCGGTGAGGGGAACGAGACTATGGGAAACGATGGATCAATCGCTTTGTACTATGATATGGCATATTAAAATCCAAATTAACCTAAGATTCCCAGATCATTTCCTACATACAGCCAAGTGTCAAATGACTCATAACTCAAACTCAAGAACCAACGATGTCAAAAACAC